AATGAAGCCCCACTTCTTGGAGATGTGGATCTGCTGGCACCCAGGGAAATTAACTTCACCCTGTGTAAGGCCTCAGTCACATGCTCCTTGGCTTGAAGCTTGGTGCCGATGGATGTGGTGACCTGACCAATGTGGCCTCTAGCCACGTACCTTGGAGTTGGAGGTAGGTTAGGGAAAGAAGAATTTAGGCAGGCCAGAGCCATTGAAAAGCAGAACTGGGTAACCTCCCAAGATCCCTTAAGGCAACCTATACATACCAACAGGCTGCATACACTACTGAGGAGGCTTGCTCTTTGCAGTCATTGCACACCAACCCCACAAGGAGGACAGTAATTTTATAATAAACTAAAAGAGCTTTTTTTTAACCCCAACAATAGGTTTTTTGTTGTTGTTCATGAACATTGTGAATGACTGACAATTATAATTTTGTTCTATCCTGGTAGTGTTATTCAGCAAATAATTCCAAAATCCACATGAATTATCCAAATTAGTTTCACTTGATAAATGTTAGGAATTATTTTTCTCATGTAAAGCCTGGGGAACACAAGTCATTGAATCTTTTCCAAATTACAAACTTTGCCCCTAAAACCATTATGTTACAATTTATTTTTCATTAAACTAATTTAATACAAATTTTTCTAATTATCTCCTTTCTCTTGCTCAATTGATGAGTACATGGTTGACCTGCTTGCTATGAAGTATGTTTCAGTAACTGCATTTTTTTTTAATGTGGGGAACCCAATTCAACTTATTTTGTCATATATCTGTATATTTATTATGAAGCGAATTCCTCAAATATGATAGTAATTATAAAAATTAATATTTAACCTATTAATTACTATATGTGTCAGTATATGTATATAAATATTTATACATAAAATATATGTAAGCTAAATTCCTTGATGTTGAATAAATCCTGACATGTGGTGATCATATAGGGAAGAGTATAATTGCTCCATAGGTGTCCAAGGCTGTACAGCTTTATACCAGCAGACTGCAAAGTCTTTCTCTAAAGAAACCATGTATGGGTCACTTTGTCTTATTGGTACCGAATAGCAACGGTAAAACTGAAATAAAAAAGGAAATGTGGTTATATTTCAAGATACTTGATAAGGTGTGGAAATGTAGAATTGATGTAAAATGACTTCAGGTTAAAGAATTAATTATAATGTAACTGTGTCTGGACTCATGCATTTATCCCATGCCTCTTATTGGTTTGTATCCATATGACAGATGCAATAATGAACTAACTTTCCAAATGACATAGCATGGGTCAGCACAAGAGGAGAAAGCATTTAAGGCTGTTGCCTGCTGTGATCTTATTAGTAAGGCTATTAATTTCTTTAGCATGTATTTTCTTTATGAAACTACTAAACTTGTATTTATAGATAATATCTGTGGCACACACTTATTTGTGCATAGATTATCACCCTATTTAGTAAGGTAAAGTCATTAATATTAAAAATGGATAACTAGGGTCAAAAGGAAAAAAATAGTAGGCAAATAATCACAACATTTTACCGGACTTGTTCAGTTATTTTCACAAAGATAATTAGATTCATCCCTAAGACTAAGCATGTCTGAATTTGTGTACATTCATTAGTAAAGATAGTAAGAGAGTAAGTAATCTGTTTAGAAAATATTCTTGGAACACTCCTGTGGTAGTAAGAAAGGGAAACTAGGAAAGTAAGGGGCAAGCAACCTCCATTTGGGGCTATCATGCAAATGACCACTTCATGCTGTTAGTATTTAATCCCACTGGGCAATTTTGAAAGCTCATACTAGAAAACCAAACCAAGCCAAGCCAAACCAAAGCAAAAACTAATGTCATACCAATATTATCTGAATAGAAACCAAATAGCCAGATGTTTTTATGCCATGTCTTAAGAGTCATTACTAGAGGTCTGTTTTCAAGATCCATTTACTCTCCTTTACTTGCATTTAGAAGAAAGGATTATAGAAACCAGAAAAAAGAGTTTGGACATAGAAATATATTTGCAGCAATTGGAAATATACTTGTTAGCATTAAATGATACAACTCAAAGAGATAGGAGATAGGTAATCTAGGTGGTGCATTATACAAACAAAATCGTTGCTGTTCTTTAAACAGTTTAGTAAAAATACATCTAAATGTCTTTGTGTTGTTTAATTTTCACATACCAGGATTATCACTTTTTAAGACTTTTAAAGCAGTTATCCCAAATAGATTGTGTGGTAGTCAATTTGAGATTATTAAGAGGGAAAGGGTGGAGTTTAGCTTGGCAATCAGGTCACAGCTTGATGATTTCATTTGGATGGGCTAAAGTGATAAATAGCTCACTAGAGGCCAGACACACTCTCTCTGCTTGTCTCTGTGAGACATTTGTGATGACAAGCCACATCGAGTTAGACTGATGGAGCCAGAGCCCTGCAGCTGAAGGAGCCACGTGGAGACCCACACCAGTGCTGAGATGCTTCCATCACCACTGGATCCATAAGACTTTTCACCCACTGGCCTGTGATCTTCATATATTCAGTGTCATTGCATGTGTTGCATTAGTCTGAAGAGGAATTTATAGACAGGCTAATGTCGAACTTACGGACTTGAAGTAGACAGGGCTAGAATGTTTAGTTAATATGCACTTCTCTTTGATATAAAGTTCTCTCTTGCACACATATGCGTGTCACTGATCAGTGTCTCTAGTCTACCGTACTAACACAGAGTGTCATTGATTGGTTCCTTTTCGTAGCAACCATATGCATAACTGTGTGAAACACTCTGGCCATTTGCTATCCTCACAGTTCTTACTGTTTTCATTCCATTGTAGCCACTGTATAAATTCACATACTTGACATGCTTCCTTTCTTTTCTGACCTTCTCGATTCTCAGACATGATGTCCTTTACCAGTGGCTGTCCCTTCTGTGTATGAAAACATCTCCCAAATACCTGAGCTGACCTTTCACTCTCCTTGCCTCCATGGGTACTTTTTCAAAAACATATTAATTCGTCATGGCCCTTTCAGTAACGTTTGCCAACCATGTAACTCAAAAGCATCAATTCTTTGTTCTTATAAGATGTCATTGAAGTATCTTGCTTGGGATCAGGTTTACTCTTCGTTGCTCTTCAGCACTTTAAAGACATTTTCTGCAACAGATTCTCCCAATGCAATATGTCATTTGATTTCTTGACTGTTGCTTCCATGAGCATTGGTTGTGAATAGGAACAATGTGAAACCCTTGACGACTTTATTTTCTTCTCCACTTATCGTGATATTGTCTATTAGTCCTGGGGTGAGAGTTCGTGTTTTCACAGTCTATACTGAAGCCTGCAGTCCTAGAGATTCACCAGGAAATGCTTCATGGCCACATTTGCAACAAGCCAGGTTGTGTCATCTGCACATGACAGGTTTTAATGAACCACTATCTAATCCTGGGACTGTATCTAGCTTCATATAGTACAGCTTCTCAGATTATTTACTCAGCATACACATTGAGTAAGTGTGGTAAAAGTGTACATCGTTGGTGCATCCGTTTTCTGATTTGGAACCCGAGTGTTCCCGTGTTCTGTTCTAATGTCTGCCTCTTGGTCCTGGTATAGATCCCACATAGACATTAAAAAGTATTCTGGAATTTCCATTTTATTAATGGGATGCAAACTGTATTATAATTTGCAGAATGGAATGCCATTGGTAATGACAAAAGGACCCTATAAATGCAGCCAATTTTGTTCCTGTGCATTTCGTATGGTGAGCTTTTTTTATATAGCTGTTATTTTTGTTGGGAAAAAAAAGTTATTTTCAATAAATAGATTATTATATTTTTAATGGTGAAAGGTTATGATAATTTTCCTGTATTTACACTCCCTGGAGTCCTGATGGTATAATGGTTACATGTTGGGATGCTTACTGCAAAGTCAACAGTTTGAGACCCCCAGCCACTCTAGGGAGAAAAAGGAGACTTTCTGCTCCCATAAGAGTTACAATTTTAGAAACTCACAGAGGCAGTTCTAGCTTTGAGTTGGCATTGATTTGAGTGCAGTGGTTTGCTTTTTTTAATTGATACTCAATATAACTCACACCAAACAACCTTTCTCTGAATGGATCTAGTAAGAAGGTGTAGGAAGATACTGATTTGCCTGTGAAAAATTAGCCACAGGTCTCTCTTCAGTGTCATCCTGCTGTGTAAAAAATGGAGCACCTAAGAAGCAGGGGGTGAGACTTCATCACCACCAAGAGGCAGTAGTGTATCGTATCCTCTGTATCTGCAATCTCTACACACTGAACCTCCTGGATCTGGAAGACAGCTATAATATCAGAGGAGCAGCTGCAGAAACAAGAGCCCAAACATGGCACAAAATGGTGGAATTCCCAACCTGTGCACCAGGTAAAGCTGAATTATTATGTGCAGGAAGCTGCGTTGCACAGTAGTGTTCCTGGGCACTTTATTGGGGAAGCTGAGCTTGCTGCCCTGTGGAAACGAAGCTGAGTTTGGAGTGGGTGTTTCTGGGACTGAATGCAGGCATTGGGTTCTGCTGATACATGGAGCTTGAGCTGAATGCTTCCAGACTGAAGTTCCCAGTGGAGTGGTACACCCCTGGGGGTGTTTATAAGTAAACCTGAAAGAACGTTATAGCATGCGCTCATAAACAACTATCCTGAGCATTTCTCATTGTCATTACAACTTGTAACTTCCTTAATAAGCCTTTTAATCAGCAATTTTGTCTGTGTGTTCTGTGTAACCATTGTAAGGTATAACCCTGATAAATAAAAGAAAGAACCTTACAACAAAACAGACATCCATGATGAATTTCTATCCTGTGATCTGCTTGTTAATTCCTATCGCAAGGCTTTGTTTTCCAACTACTGATCCTTCCTATTTCCAATGTTTGTGTTCCAAAATCTCTAGTAATTATTGAATCATTTTGATTGCATGCTTGAGCAATATCAGACTAAAGAAGTTGGAGGATTATTCAATGTATTGTTCATCGTCTTTAATGGTCGGTGTGTACATTTGAATTACAATTGTATAAAGTGGGGTTTTTTGTAAGTATATAGACAGTGACCTATGACATATAGCACTGTACTTCAGGAGAGAGCTTGAAATGGGACACCAATCCTCTTAAATTGTCATTTCCAGCATAGTAAAACATATGCTTGTCTGATTCAAATGTGGCGACATCAATCCATTTCAGATCACCAGTGCCTAAGAGGTCGATCTTCCTGTATTCCGTTGTCTTTTTGACAGCTTCCACCTTTCCTAGAGTCACGGTTTGTACATTCCATATTCCCGTCTGTAATGGATGTTCACAGCTGTTTCTTCTCACTTGGGGTAATACTTCTTCACCAATGAAGGTCCTAAAGGCAGCGCACCC